CCCTCCCTCTCTCCTGTGGAGGAGGATCTCAGCGGAGAGTTGAGGGTGGGAGGGGAGAGGGTCTCCAGCCTGGTCCTTTGTCATGGAAAGACTTTAGTGTGCTGTTTTAGAGAGAGAGAGGGGGATTGAGTGGACTTCAGCTTCATCACTAAAAGATCCTATAAGTATGTAACGGGGACAGAAAGCAAAGGTCAGTCGCTTTTCTTTTCTTTTCCTTCAAATTTCGCTTCAGCAGATGCCAAACTGGCTGGTCGGTACAAAGAGTGATGCTCCTGGAAAGTCAGGCGGCTGTGTCAGACTTAAGGTTGCGCGTTGTTTCTGTTTGTTGTACATCTGTCTGCGTCTGTGCTTTTACATGCTTGGAATAAATAAACGTGTAAAGAAAAATAACTCTTGTAGGCTAAAAAAAAGTTTATCTTTATTAACTTAACGTTGCCAGAAAATGCTGCAGCTATTCAAAGAAAGTAGATGACAAAAACAGCAGTGGTTATCAGCAAGTTTCCAGACTACTCACCACAATCCCTATAGGTACAGTGCGCTGTGAAATCAGGACATTTTAATGATTTTTTTTATCATAGCAAAAAATAAAAAAATACAATCAAATCTTCTTTTTATATTACCTTAACCTCAAAGTTAATGCTTTGGTTTGCTGGTCAGAAAACTTTGAAGATTTCCTATATGTTAAAACACATATTCTACGTTATATTCTGGCTCTTTGTAGACCCTCTAATTAGATGAAAATTAAACTAATTGTTAACTGCATGGGATTTCCCTTCACTTTTTTCCCTTGCATGGGAATAAAAATGACTGAGGCATAAGGCGACGGCAATTTCAGCACGTTAGGGCCTTAAAAAGCAGTGTGAAAGTATTCCTTTCCTTGTTGCCACACATTAGATGAAAGCCAGCTTATCAGTGGTCATTCCTCAAACTGTTTACATCTCCTTGTGTGTTTATGATCTGCACCTCCCTGCTGGACTGCAGCCCGAGTAATGCAGTAAAAACTCATGCTCTTGACACGAGACAGTTTTTCTTTTAGGTCTGGAGAATGAACTCATACTGATTGATTGTGTCACTGTGTAAAAGGATACCCTGTTTCCTGTAGGCTCACTCTCCCTCTTCCTCCAGACAGCAGGAGCAGAAAATCTTGGATCAGCCATCTCTGTCTCACTCTGTGTCTGTGCGTGTGGATACAGGAAACGTCTGACTCTTTAAAATTCCTCGATAGTATCACCAGAACCAATAACATCCTTACTTTTCTGTGATCTTTGTGAGTTATGACCTGGAGCGAGGGGATTTGAAGATGGATTTCTTTCTTTTATTTAACATATTTTATTTTTGCCTTCCTTTTTCTTTTCCTCAGAGGAGAGCGCACATCTTTATCCCCCACTCCACCCCACTGGAAAAGCATGAGATTGAGGGCTGTGTGATTATGTTTATATAATTATCCAATCTACTCATTAATTAGCCAATTAAATGTTTTTTCAAAGACATGTCAAAACCTATAATCCATCAAATTTTTTACTTAAATTTTTTTTTTTTTTTTTTTTTTTGATTTTGTGCATTCAGCATGAAGTGAGTCTGGACTTCAAACTGTGTGTGAATGACTGGTCATGAGTCTGTGGCTGAAACACTGATTAAGACGCAGGGCACTGCTTTTCAGATTTGGTTTTTATTGGTGACAGAGGGCCAGACATAAAAACTTTCCTCTAGACCTGTTTTAATACTCAAGTCTTTAGGAAAGTTTTTATACGTCCTTATTTTCTGGCATTTTGAAGGATAAGTTAGCAGAGTGGTGACTTATTCTGTGGAATTTGTATTTTTTACGTGAAATATTAAAGATACAGTCCCTCCAACCTTAAAAAATGTAAATAATTTCAACCTGTGGAGCTCAGTTATTGCTTTAGCTGGTTAATTTTGGAGTTATCAGTTGCTATCAGGCCAAGGGGGAAAAAAAATTAAATAAATAAAAAATTCACACACATTTTGCAAGCAGGAACTATTTTCTCTTTTACCAAAATACAGCCACCGTCCATATTACTCAGCAGAAGAAAGCACGTTGAGAGTGATAAGGTGTCGTGTTGCACATTAGCCATTCAGCCAAGCTTTCCTTTTAATGGATAGATGTGGGTGGCAGAAAGGAAAAAAAAAAGAAAGTCTCCATGATTTAGTAGCTCATCCGGTTCATGCTCAGTGGAAAGTCACAGGTTAAGTAATTTAAGAAGTCCATAAAGAAAGTGGTAAGTTTTGTTGTCATTGGTTACCCAAACCCTCATATCAGGACAAATAAATCATCATTAAAGTTTGACCAATTTTCTAGGAGGACTGACCGATGGATGATGGACACCTCGCTCTCATTTAAGCCTGATAGTAACAATCTGATATTGTTTACATGATATTGTTTACAGTAAAGTTTCTTAAGCTTTTTGAGTAGCTGGGTCCTGATTTCTTATGTGAACACCAAAAGACATTTCTATAGCCAACATCTCCAAAACTGGAAACTTACTCAAAAAACAATTTAGATAAATAAACAGCAGTAAAAGCCATAGAAAAATATGCAAAGTATCTAACACAAGGAAGAATCTGGTTTATAGTAAATTCCTGTTTTTTTATTTTTTTAGGTTTTTCATTGATGTATATTGATTGCCTCTCCTTTCATGCACAGGACAAAGCTAAATCAATGTGATGAAGAGCATGCTTCCCCAAAGGAGTGCTGTCGCCACACTGGGCTACAGCTCAGGTAAAACAACAACTGTATCATATTACTGATTACTACAATTACATTATTCAGAAGCGACACTAACAGGAAATGACATCATACAATTACATTTAATATTTATTACATGCCATTTGAATGGAATATGTTTCCACCTTTACGGAGAGAACAGAGTCGGCTGAATCACAATAAAGTGGACTATGAGTATTTGGTTAGCTTTCCTGGAGCAGCTCCGTGTCTTTCCAGTCCATCCTCAAAGCTTCTGGGTTTCACTTAAAATGATATCTGAGTAAATGTGCATTGTGGAGCAGCCGTCTGGACTATAATTTAGACACTGATCTGCTGGAAAAAATGCTGAGAATTTTATTTGAGTCTAAAGAGCGCAGTCATACTGCAGCTATTCATGCAGGGAGAGCTCACACGAGAAGCAGTGCACTTCACTATTTATTTCATTTTGCAGGAGTTGTGAACATTCTTTCATCTCAAACAAACTCCCTAATATTTTGTATATTCAACGTCCGGTCACCCATGACTCAAGAACCACCCCCCTGGCACAGATATTTTGGGTGTCCTCTTGCTGCCGAGACTATGATGTATTCTGGCTGGTCTTGGTCCACCAGCATTCTTCCATTTTTAGAAGAAACTTAACCACTGATTGAGCCAGTGTTTGTATTGGGCTCAGAACTGTATGAGAGTACATTCTTTGCTGGTTTCTCTACCCCCCACTTACTCAGCACATATGTGATAGCCCTTCTTTTAAGCTGAGCTGCTGTTTATTGTATTGAAGTACTTAAACTAACTTGACTGCTTTATGTAGGCCAAAAATAGACTGGCTTTCATGGTCTCTCAATTTTCACTTTTTTGCAGACTGTGTGAAGATTGAGCACAGCAGTGGCAGCTCAGTGGCTGGCACGATGCTGAGGGGCTCCCGTTCGAAAGCCGAGCTACAGGAACTCATGGAGACGCTGCAGCGCAGGAAGAGCGCTCTGGAGGCTAGTCTGAGGGCAGCAGAGTGCAGCCGCAAGTACTTGAGTACATCTGTAGGAACCCAGCCCACCAGGCCGCTGTCGATCCTCAGTAACACAGATCGTCCCCCTTCTGCCGCTAGAAACATCTCTTACATGACCAGCAACAGCGTGCCGCCGTCACCTCGCCAAGGTGATCGCCAGCTAAGCTCTAATGGCTTGCTCCGTCACTCCCAGGCTCGCCACCAATCCCAAGACAGCTTGCTTCTCTCAAATGGAAGCTCTATGGTCTCCCCTTATGGGGAGTCCATACCACGTTCTCCCAGGGTCAAAAGCGGAGCAGCCAGTATGCCATCCAGCCCCAGAATGACCCGCAGGCTCTACTCACAGGGCAAAGCTTCAGGAGACTCCCGTCAGAGGAAGTACTCCACGGGCTCCCTCAACAGCCTGGGTATGCACAGCCGTTCTCTGCCACGGCTTCACAATGCAGCAGATCCACCTGCTCTGTCACTGCCGTTACGCCACTCAGTAGGTTCCCACCGAGTGGTCTCTGCAGGAAACCGGCGCAGTCTCTCCTCTCTGGAGCAGCCTCCAGATGTGACAGTACCAGCCAGCATGCCCAGCACACCCAGGAGGGCTAGCCTGGCCTCTCTGAGCTCTATGGGAGTAGAGATTGATGGGACGGGGTTAGATCTGGGCATCGGAGAGAGGAGGTTGTCCTTTGGGAAGAGTGGTTTGAGTCCGGGACAACGGGTGGGCAGCATCACCTCTCTGAATGGCAAAGAGGAGCTCAAAGACTACCACCAGCATCAGAGAGATGAGCGACTCAGGGAGCAGAAAGTGCAGAGATTAGTGAGTTCTTTTTACCCAAATTTGTGCACTTTTATTTCACTTTAACAATTTATTCATACACCTGTCTGAAAATGTAATCAGTTCAATATTTTCTTGGAATAATTTTAACCAAATATCAATCAATTATCTGCAGGAATGCCAGCGTCTAGAGACCATCTTAAACCTGTGCACTGAGTTGGGACAGGTAACGAGAGAGCCAGCGGGATCAGCTGTTTCTGACCTGCAGAAGATCAATAAGGAGCTGGAGAAGCTGCAGGTGTCGGACGATGACTCAGTGTTCTCCGACTCTCCGAGCAGCACAGCTCAAGAGAGCTGCTTTGGAGCCAAAGCCAGAGACTTCCAACTCTCTGAGGAGCAGCAGGCCAGCCAGCGTCAGCAGAGCGGCTATAGAGAGGCCAGATCCCACTCACCTGCTATCAGTCTCAACAGCAGTGCACCCTCGCCTTCTATGCATCACAGAGCCAAAGTAAGTCCAAAGAACCCGTTCTCTTTTATAACCACAAGTTTAGGAAAAAGAAATAATATAATCAGTTTATTAGAAAATGATGGTATCAACTGAAGTATTCAGAAAGAATAAATCTACTTGTTGTTGTGCAGTTTTCATTATTATTCTTGAAGTATCTTGTAGTTTGTAACATGTATGATGGAGTTCAGTGGTACAGTTTTGTCCTTCTAGTAGTCAGGAGGTCGGAAGAGTCTGAGAGAAAAACTACTGGAATTTTCTAAGGAGAAATTTACATAAATAAGAAAAGACTTCCTTTGTTTTTTGGTTTTATGGAGTCATACAAACTGTGGGGGTTACCCCACAATGATATAAAGTTAATGTCACATTGCCTACAGTCGATGAACATCCAAAGTCTAATTTGCAGTCAGCATCATATCCACACTTTAATGAGACGCTGCATGAATATTCTGAAAAACTATATTGATTCAGGTGTAGTTATAGCTTTTGTCTACTTCTGCTACACTTACACACTAAGTGTAAGCAGATTTCACTGTTTCCCAGTGGTAAATATTAGTGAGGTTGTGAAGCAGGGCTGGGAACTTGTATTTTCCCATCGGGCCTCATGAGAAACTGAGAGTCTTGTGGCTGCCGCACCAATAAGCTGGACTCAGTTCTGCTAAGTATTAATTTGATCTCTTTATAAGTTTATTGATGTAGCCCCCCACAGCAATCCCAGTTTGGGAAAATTAATTTCCCACCTTGGCAGTAAGGTAATTTATTTTTCTCATAAATCTAGGACTTGAATGTCAGGGAGATGTTTCTTGCAAATTTACTGCTGTAATTTGGTAAATTTGGTAAGTTTTTTTTCTTTGAATCTCCATTACTTTTAAGCGTGCTTCCTGGTGTTACTCCACAACTAGCCTTTGGAGTTAAGGCTTTTAGCTAACAAGTTAGCAAACAGTTATCTATCAAGCATAGAGGGAGCTAAATTTAGGGTATTTTTCTGGTCTCTTGAATTTTTAAAAGTTTAAAAGTGCATCTTTTTTGGCATCTCATCTCCTAAATATGTGAATATTTATATTGAACTACATGTTTATCTGTTACTTGCTAACGCTACTTCTTTGCTAACTTTGTTGCTAAGCCTATAGCTTACTGAAGGTTTATTAGAAATAGCTTCAGAACCTAAAGTAGCACTGTTGGTTGGCAAAAGGCCTTTTTAACCAGTTGGAAGACTCCTTCATGCCCCTGGTACATTTGAACTTAAAAGCTCATCTTCTCAGTAACTGTAACCACACAATGAAAGGTGAGAGAGCTCTCTCTCCCTTCGGCTTAATTTTAAAGCACACTGGGTGGCTGTAGCTCAGGCGGTAGAGCAGGTCATCTACTGACCGGAAGGTTGGTGGTTCGATTCCTGGCTTACTCCTAGTCTGCATGCCAAATATCCTTGGGCAAGATATTAACCCCAAATTGCTCTCCGATGCATCCATCGGAGTGTGAATGTTACTAAGAACAATGTGCTTGGGTGAATGCACAAGTTGTGTAAAGTGCTTTGAGTGCTGAAGAGTAGAAAAGCGCTATATAAGAACCAGTCCATGTACCATTCACTATATTTACCTGTTATGAAAATTGATCACTTGCTTTAAAAATTTGTCACTTGGTGAAAAGAGAAAAATTGTATTACTTTATACTAACAGAATAAACTAACAAGTTCTTGCAGGTTGTTGATGTAATAATGAGTGATACATTTGGACATTTGGAAAAGCTATTTATCTTTACCCTGGTTACTTCCTGGATGACTTTCACAGTGACTGAGGAGCGAACACACACTTCTGTGGAATGCAGTTAATCTGACTCCTGATTGCTTGTTTATCTTTGTCCGTTTATATATCAGAGTGCTTTTTTTTTTCAATCCAAGTTTTCCCATCCCACATTTCCTCCAAACTTCAGTTAAAACCTTGTTTTAAAGTTTTCTAGAGAGACCAAATATTTGTATTTGAACTCTGTTGAAAGAGTACATAAAGAAATGAGGGGTGGGTCAAAGTTTTGAGCTGCCACCCATTTCTTTATGTTTTGCTTCCACAGAGCCAGACTCGCTTGTAATATTTAAAGTTGTCTCGAGCTGTTTTGAATAGTTCTCCAGGGTTTCTCAACTTTGAACACTGAACTCTGAGCTTTGAATGTCCTTCAAGAAGCGTGGAGAACTTTTCCTCTGTTTTTGCCTTATGTCTGTACTATATTTCTATATGCCATATGTTTGCAGACATTTCTGCACCTATTTCCCATTTTACTAGCAACGTATATAGAAATAAGTAAGTGGATCAAGACCAACATGCACAGTACTGCATGACAAAATTGTGTCAGAGCTTTAAAAAATGATGTGTGCAGTCCCCCAAACTTTAAGGAAGGATAATTATAACAACTATTAGGCATTCTATTATAACTACTGTAAGTGTGTGCTGATAGTTTCAGTTTATGTTTATGTGGGTTGTTCAGACATAAACAGAGAAATCACAGTTACGCACAATCTTCTCAGTTACGCACAATCTTCTCACAGCTTTGATGTTTTCTCTCACTACTATTTTATAGATGTGTTGCAAACTAATAACCAGATGAACATGTTTAAGGTACAAATATAAAAGAAATCAAATATATCAAATACTGGAGTTTAGGCTCCCAGCCAGACCACTAGGCCAGTTTCTTTTCCACTCTCGAGCAGCAACAACCTAGGGTTGTGTCTGGTTTTAATGAAGAAGTCCTAGTTTTGTTTCAGTCATTCAAATTGTTGGGGGGGAGGAGACAGGAAATGACTTTATCCCACAGAGCATTAGCATGCGCATATGTGTGTGTGTGAGTGTGTGTGCGCAGCTCTGTGCAGTTGTGTGATTGGAAGAATGCTAGTGTATATGTGTGGCAGAGCCATGCGTTTTTCCAGATGTTTTGAACTTTCTGCTGAGGATAAATGGATGGAAGATGTTCCAAAAAAATGTAATTATAATTAACCCAGGTAATGTAGCAGATCCAGCTGTCATGTAAACACACGGTTATAAAATTAGGTTTCCAAGTTGATGCTATTATTTTCTGCTATGTGTCAGTCGTGACAGAGGTTTACAGACTCCAAATACCCTCTCTGCCATCTCCTGCATTCCTCAGAGCTTTGTGTGCAGTGAAAAGAGAGCACTCACAACCGATCTGGAAAACTAGAGCTGTTGTTCACATGAGCATCTGTCCAGAGAAAAAAATCAACATAGGTCCTTAAGGGAAGAATACCTGATATTACTGATATTACAGGATGTCTCGAATACACCTACATATGACTGTGAATGAGTGTTTGCAGGGTGGTGGTCGATGGTGCAGTATGTGGGCGTGCTTTAGCATGAGTGGTGGTGAAGTGCACTGATAGAGATTTCCATTACGGCCAGCGGAAAAGAATCCCTGCTGTCACTGATCCAGCTTGGATGAGTTAAAACAGCAGCTGCTGTCGTCTAATTCAATAAAACCTGATTCTGCACGGAGGCAAAGTATATCAGCATAATTTACACAGCAAAAAGAGAGCTGTTGTTTTTTGTGTAATTGCATAAAGTCTCTTTTTCCATTTGATCGGGGACCTTTGTTTGTATATTTGTACTTACACAATGCGCAGCCTCCTGGAGAGCCGAGCATTTATCTGCGTTCCTGATGTCGTTACAGGCTTTGGAGAGCGTGCAGCTGAAACAGGAAGTAACGCACATAGAGGAAGAAAGAATCCAAGTTTTGAATAACATAGAAGAGCTCGAGCAGAAGATCAAAGACCTGGACAACCAGATGGAGGAGTCTCTTCGAGAGGTAGACGGCACAGTGCAGCACAAACACGAATAGTTTGTTCTTCATTTTAAAATATTTAGCTAATCCGCTTTTCTGGAGATGAAAGAACCTTTCAGACGAAGACATGTGCACATATAATACTCCTTACTCTATTTAATTGCTGGAGTGTTGATGGAGCAGCATGACAATACGGGATATATCCATGGAGGTCGACTGCAGGGTACTTTTAGTTGGAAGGACACATGTTTTAATTCTATACAAGCAGGTAAATGAATCTTAAATAAAAGTGTTAGGTGTTTGTGAGACTCAGTGAGAATTAAAAACTGGTGACTTTATAACTGCTGGATGGTCAGGGTCACAGATAGAGATGGAAAACACCCTGCTGTGGGCTTGTCTAAATTTAAAACTAGGTGTTATTAAGAAAAGCTCATTGGAAAGTATCAATGGAAGAGTAATCATTGCTGATTAGAAATAATAAAGTTGTAAGTTAACTCAGGCTCCACAGATTAAAAACTGATGAAGCGAGCATCATGCTGAAATCCTGCGAATGTCCTATTCAGTGCACTAGTCCAAAAATGAGTCCAAAGGGATATTGTCACCCTTGCGTTGCTACTTCTTGCAGATGGAGGTGGAGTGTGCTCTGCTGGAAGGAGAACAAGAGTCGGAGATGGCCCAGCTGCAGAGGGATAAGGAGCTTCTGGAGCAGCTCAAGGGAAAAATTCACAATGTTGAGAAAATGAACCACACTGAGAAGTCACAGGTAAAAATGACAAGAAATGCAGTGAATTATTTCCTAGGGTTAGGTTTGTTATGAAATCTGAGAAGTATTTTTCTAGTATTCCACTAATTAGGATTTCAGTAAACTGAGCTAAAAAACAACAACTATACTTTGTATATTCATAGATTTCTGTTAAAGCAGTTTACCCAAAGTTTTACTCTTTCACATGGTTTGAATTTTTATGTTTCCTGGTTGCTCCTCAGGAGACTGAGGAGCAGTCAAAAAGTTTGGAGGACTTGGAGTTTCAGAAGCTGGAGAGAGAAATTAAGCAGGACGAGGAAAAAGAGAATCAGGGCCAAGAGCTGCTGCGAGAGATCGCAGACTGTCAGCGCCTTACTGTCACCCGCAAGGTACAACATGTGAAGTTATAGAAGTGTGCATGCTGCATGTGGTGCATGTATAACTCACCCGACATCGTAACACCCTAACCTGTATTTTTCTTCAGTAACTTTAATAACTGGAGCACTGTGGCAGAATTAATCCTAACAAGATGTTAAACTTAACTCAGATCTTTAGGGTGTGCAATTTTTAAGTCTGGCCTACACAGGAATATGGACACTATCAAATAGCACGGCTTCTTTAAAAAAAAACATTTTATATTATTTTTCTAGAGGGACTCTGTTACAGATATTATATACACATAATGAATAGTGACTTTAAAAAGTGCATTTTTACACAATTGAAGGTAAAAAGCAAACACGTTTTTTTAGTGATGATTGTAAATGTGCTTTTTTTTCTGTATTTTTGTTGAATTTACTACACTGTGGTCTGTTGTCATTAATCTTACTGCAGGTTTTGCATGAAAATAAAGCTTCAAAATTATGAGATTTGCAGCACAAAGCATGAACTAATTGCAGGAAACCATCAATGGTAAGCATGCAATGCTGAAGGCCAACTGAACACTTTTTTTTATTGAGTATCAAAACCCAGAAAGGGCACAGGAACTGGGTAAAGATATTTGCTTATAAAGAGGGTGTAGTATATCCCAGAAACTGAACTGCCTTTATTAGAATTTTCTGCCTTACTTTCTCAATATCTCTGCATTGCTTTTAATTTTTACCGCGTTCTTCTGCCTCGCGCTTTGTGAACGCTGACATATGTAATGTGTACTAATGCTGCGCTCCTTATTTCTCACAGGAAAGACTCATGACGCTCAAGAAACAGTCATCTCAGATTACTTTACAGGCTCAGCAGGAACGGGAGAATTTCCAGAGAGAGAAGAACAATTTGCTCGTCATGCTTCAGAAGGTTTGAAAATTCTCTGAATGTTACAATTGTAAACACAGCCTTCGGTTTTATTTACTTAAAGAGTGCCTCATGTCTGCAGGAGAGAGAGAGATTGGTGTCTTTGGAAGGAAAGTATGCAGAGCTGTCTGAGGGGCAGACCTTCGCTAACAATCCTGTGGCCTTCAAAGAGGTAGGAGTCAGTGGCACAAACAGTGCAGCTTTAGGTTTTTAATATTAAAAATCCTATTTCTCCTTTTCATTGCTCTGATTTCTGTGCAGCACTTGCACACTCTGAAGGAAAGACGGAGAAGCAGCAAGGAAAATTCATCACATCCAAATGACAGTCAACCTCATAAAAGGAGCCAGCAGCTGCTCACCACTTATGGCAGATCCCTCGGACGCACGCTTCCTCCAAAGGTCTTTAGGTTTTTTCAGAAAATCTGAGCAGACGGAAAAGGTTGGCTCAAACTGGAAGTTAATGCTTGCTCCCTCAGTCTGCTATGTTAAAGAGCACTTAGCGTGTCGACTTTTTAAAACATTTGCAGTGGTACTTTCAAAATGATTGTGCTCATGGAGATTCTGGCCTGCAGATGCTTTGCCCTAGTTATTTGTTTATCCCTTGAGAATGATCCACCCAAACAGGAATTCTCAGTTTCAGTCTGGGTTGCAACATCCATCCAGCTCATGAAGTTTGCATTTCTGTAAATGTTGAAGAATGAATAGAATAGAATTCAACTTTATTGTCATTGCACATGCACAGGTACAGGGCAACGAAATGCAGTTTGCATCCATCCAGAAGTGCTTTAGTGATATAGATATATTACAATATATATTAGGAATAATATAGATATGTAAGTATATTACAGAAATGGGTCTATTATGGTATGTTATAATGTACACGGTATGAAGTATGTTGTGAATATTCTATAACTATAGGTATGTACAGGCTGTAGTGAGTACAAGCTACTGTATGTACAGGATATGAACAGGAAATAAAAATATGAAAAACTATACAGAATATGAAATATATAACTTTACAGAAATCTGAGATATACAGCTATACAATGCAGTCCTAAAAAGCACGTGTGCTCTTGTTTCCCCTCTCAGCCTCACCTTCCTTTGTCCCAAAGCTCAAGCTGTGGCAGTGTCATCCCACAAGGCTTCTGCTTCTCCCCTCGGGAGGTGAACCTTCGCCGCTTGCCCAAGAGTGAGTCACACTGTCCCGTCTCATCTGTGTCAACCTCTTGGTAGTAGTTGTAGTAGTAGATCGGCTCTGCTCCTGGGGCTGTATGACTGTGAGGTCAGGAAATGCTGTGGTCCTTTGAAAATCTGTGTCACTGCACAAAGCAAGATACATTTAGTCTAAAACTGATGTTAAAAAAAACACAGAACAGAAACGCTACATTATACAAGAAAGAAAACTGGGATTTTTAGCTTTGCTTGTTTCAAATCAAGAAACAAATGCAAATCTCTTTAATGAAAAAAACGAAATTACAGCACTTTTGCAATTTTTTGCATCAAGGCAGTGATAAAATAATCATAAGATGCAGTCTGTCTGCTCTCAGTTTGCCTTTGAATGGGGTCGAGTTGGCAGTTATGGCACATTAAAAATTGTAAATATGTTACACTTACTACCTACATTCTGCCAGAACCTCATAGATTTGAAAAATAAATTCATAAACTCATCTACAAGTAGTGATGGGGACAGGTTAACTATAAAAGGACTCAGGAGCTCAGCAAGCTTGCTTTTATATAGGAATATAACCAGAATACAACGAGTTGAGCCAAGTGCAATACTGCAACGATACTTCACAGACAAGCTGCACTCATCAGCACAGACTGACTTAGATTGATTGCAACGTGCTGGCAATCTGTCTGCATTTACAAATTAGACAGCAATTATTTGCAAGCCTTTGCCAAACTGTCTGAGAATGATTACAGGCAGTCTGAGTCAGACCACATTTGTTAGGTTACCACCAGGTAACCTGTGCAATTGCCTATTTTTACTCTGATTACTCTGTTTTTATAAGAGCTAATCCTGTTTGGCCATGTAGTTAATGCATTGCAGCTCTTTGGATGTGATTTTGTCTGTTAACAAACATGTGTCCTGATGGTATTTTCAGTTTGTTATTTTAATATTTTCTTCTGTCAGCAGGCAACAGCCACGCACATATAAATGAAGACAGGCAAAGACAGAGTGATTTTTGCAACAGGTTGGTCTCTGAGCCCAACGTCTTCCTGGACTCTTTCTCTTACCCGGACAACAGCCAGACGTCAGACACCATCAGCGTGGACAGCTCTGACAGCCTGGAAACCAGCTTCTCTGCCTGCTCCCCAGACAACATCTCAAGGTTAGAGACAGGAAACACGATGAGCTACACATCAAAGGAAGTTTCTTCTTTCTTTGATAGTTCTATTTGTTACTGACAGCTTGTATTTTCCATTTATTATCAGTGCCAGTACCTCCAATATGGCAAAGATTGAAGAGATGGAGCGTTTGCTCCGCGAGGCCCAGGCCGAGAAGCTGAGACTCCTCGAGCATCGAGTACTGAGCCAAATCTAACCTAAATTGTAACCTTGCATGTCGGAGGTGTGCATTTTATTATAAATGTAATTTACTTACATGTGCAGGAGCGGGAGATGGAGATACGCAGGCAGGCTCTGGAGGAGGAGAGGAGAAGAAGAGAGGAACTGGAGAAACGGCTGCAGGAGGAAACAAGCAGGAGACAGAAGCTTGTGGAGAGAGAGGTGAAGCTCAGAGAGAAGCAGAGATCACAGGTATTCATAAAAACTCACGAGAAGATGTTGAAATCCAATCTGTAGTTCACATTAGCTTCGTGTAACTACATTTCAGATAAAGACGAGTAAAATGTCTACTTTCATCTAATTTTATCGCAGTCCCGACTGTTGACAAGATACCACCCAGTAAGAAAAGACGACTTTGATCTTCACGGCCACATTGAAGCAGCCGGACACAACCCAGACGCCTGCTTCCATCTGGCCATCACTGACAAAACCTGTCGCGGGTTCCTCGTCAAAATGGGAGGAAAGATCAAGACGTGGAAGAAGCGCTGGTTTGTCTTTGACCACAATCGCAGGACACTCACTTACTATGCAGGTGAGTATCTTTCTTTTAGGTCTCTACTTTGATGTGCAGCTTTTTTGGTGCGACAAAGTTGCTGCAGCAATGGCTGCTAACTTTGAGCTACGCTAGGATACTTTGACACAGCAGTTCTGTTTATACTCCCGGCTGCAGACAAACACGAGACCAAGATGAAAGGCGTCATTTACTTCCAAGCCATAGAGGAGGTGTACTATGACCATTTAAAGAATGCACACAAAGTGAGTCCGTTTACATGCGTGTGTTTGTGTATCCGTGGCATTTTACCACGTGGCATTGTATAGTATTGACACCTGTTTGTCCTTTTTTTCTCCTCCCCCTCTCCTTTACTCTGTATTATTTGACTTTTTTCTCAAAAATGACATTCACTTCCACACACAAGAGCCCCAACCCCTCGCTGACCTTCAGTGTGAAGACCCACGATCGGGTGTACTACATGGTGGCTCCGTCCCCTGAAGCCATGCGTATCTGGATGGATGTTATTGTAACCGGTGCTGAAGGACACATGCACTTCATGGTCTAACAGAGCTACAATTATTGTTTGCTAGGTTACCTAAAAAAAATATAAGCTTCAGTTTACACTTGAAGTTGTCTACAAATGAGCTTGAGCATAACTTCTGCTCAAATACAGACTTTGTAATGTAATCTTGTATAAGTAGATCAAAAGAAGTGGCATGATAGTTTCATAATCAAGCTGTTTACTTCTTTCAGCACTTAAAACTGTAGCTGTTGCATTTTCCAGTTTTTCTTTCCGCAGTACGCTCTTCCTGTTTAATCAGCTACCCTTCTAAACTGCGGTACACCCTAATGCTGCTTCACTACAGATGTATGGCTGTCCAACAGCTTCCTGTAAACTGTGGCCACCTCTTGCTTTCTTCCACCTGCAGTCTGGTTGCACTCGCCTTTAGGCAGACTGAAATTTTTTTCCTCTGATGTATTACTTCGATATCGTCACTAATATTCAATTATTAGCATACTGCATTTTAAAGTCAGTCACTTTGAATGCTGCTGCCAGCGTAAGCTCACTTATGCTTACGTGTGGGTCACTTCCATTTAAACGAACAAACCATTTTTCTTCACACATGCAAATTAAATTTGTGAAGGATTATCGTACGCACTTTGTGACTTTATTGTTTTAAGTTATTAGCAATTTTAGGCAAATATTTGACTCCTAGAGGCAGAAAATGACCACAGTGCAGTTAGATTCCTCTGTCTGTAGCTGTGGCTGCAGGCCTGACGTGAATGAAGCCATGTCGTGCAGCGGTGATGCTGTATGTGCTGCATCACCCACGTTCCTCACACCTTTCATATCTGCATTTTCACCAGCAGAGGTCCTCAGCGAGCCCTCAGACTGGAATGACGTAATCTGCTCTGGCCAAAGTCACTTAGTATATATGAGTAATTATTGAAAGCTTTAATAATCTACATGTTCAATCTAATCTGTTTACTTGTAAAGCCTAGTTTATCGTGCTAAAACAAATGACAGATTTTTTTAATGTGTTTAATATTTGACGTATTCTCTGGCTGTGTTTGATAATCAAAGATCACTGTCACACCAGGTGACGAGCTGTCGGGTTACAGACTGCAGGGCTCACTGTAGAGTGCAGATCAGGCTGCAGAGCTGACAGTGTTGCAGGTGAAGTTGTTGCTTTTTTGGTTGATGTCTCTCTGTGACCAGAGGCGTTTGCCAGGTAAACATCTCATCCTTGTGCTGTTGTGCACTGTGTGAAACATAAGCCTTGAAACCCCCGAAATTACTGCATTTATATATACATATATAT